TATTCTAGTAAATAATTACTGTTAGTGTAAAGAAAATCCTATTTCTCCAAAATCTCTCAAAAAGTTTATTTTTTATTTATATATTAATTTCTTCTTCTTCTACCAATTACCATTATTATCATTATTATTATTATTATCATTTTGGTACCAGGAATTGAACTCAGGACTTTACACTTGCTAAGAAAGCACTGTGTTGCTGAACTATACCCTCAAAATAGTTTAAATGCAAATAAATACATAGATTTCAAGAGAACCTACAATACTGAATTTTGGGGAAAAAATGATGCAAACCAATCTTTATAGCCTTTCCCATGATGAAAGCATCTTCTGTGGAAGTAAATTTTACATGCAATAACTTTAAAGTGTTCTTAAAACAAAACATCAATAAATGAAAATCAACAATATCCAATTGTTTACTACACTGCAGATTAAGTTCTATTTTCTGCATTCTATACTTTTGCAACTGAAATCTTCTATGGCAATTCTAAGTTGGAGGATTTGGTTGCTACATAAATTTTGAGTACAGATGATTCCTGACTTGAATAGTTTGGTTTACGAGTTTTCAGTCTTAGGATCATGCAAAAGGGATGTAAGTTCAGTATAAGTCACAGTTCAACTTTTGAATTTTGATTTTTTTCCCTAATAACAGTGTTAAATAAACATTCTCACCTGGTGCCAAAAGGCAGGAGTGAGTCACTGTGATCATGAGAGTAATGGACTGATTCCACAGGGTGCTATGTTGGTAAACCCTGTTTGGTAAGACTGGTGTATTGAGTGCACTTTAATTTAACAAAATTCTCAATTTACACAGATTTATCTAAATGCAACTTCACCATGCACTGAAAAGCATCTGTGCTGGAATATAATCTTAAGATCAAAGCCCAAGATAGTAAACTGAGATTAATTTAAACTTGTGCTAAGAATTTATTACAAGTCCCAGGTGCAAGGACTTTACTTATATTTACATAATTCTTCACAACATTCCTGGTTAATTAGAATATTAGCATAGTAAATATACAAACAGTACTTTTAAGGAGTAATTCATAAATTTACATTTCAATGTCTTGCATATGTGGGTTTCTTGCACACTAACTGAAAGTACAAATTTCTTCCAGTAATATTTCAAAATTAATGACATAGTTTATGAATTTCCATGCCATCACAGCACTATTTTTCCAGCAGAGGACAATTTTGAAGAAATTTTCACTATACCTATGAAACTAAATGAAGATGATTATTTTGTTATCTTCAACTAGATGGCATTAATATTTTCTAAAACTGGCTGCACAAATAAACTAAAAATGACACAAAAATTGTATATGAGACATGAAGATTGATGTTTGATATTTATAGAGAAACATTAAGTCTATCGTGAATCTGAAGAGATTTATAATTATGTGTGCTTGTCTTCAGTTACCAAACTAATTTTAAGCGATGTGATTTCCAATTTATGTATATTAAATGACAAATTCTAGCAAAAATATATGAAAACATTTCTTTCAGGTCATCATTCCTTTTACTTAGGATACTTTATTACTATTTTAAAGACTATGAACTCAAACACATTGTAGCTCATAAAGATGAACATTATTATTTTGTTATAAGAATATTATTATTTTTTATAAGAATATAAGTATTTTCCCTTTCACCAATAACCTTTGCTTTATATGGCAGGCACAAAACAGGTGGACTAAATTTAATTGATTTATTGCGTACATTTGCTTATTGTACCAGGATTCTAAATGACAACATGTAAAAGTATAATTGGGATAGACAAAAGATTATGAGTTAGAACTCAAAGAGAAGCAATGCTCTATCAGTTAGGTTGAGATTTGTCCTTAGAAAAATTTAGTTTTACATCCTAAATCCATTCTACCCTTTAGTATGCTATGTTTTATTTCTCTTTTATTTTATTTATCTGCAAATTCAAAGACTAACTTCTGTATAGATTTGTGTGAGAATTAAATTTAATATGTATTTAAATTACTTAGGAACGAGGTTGTCTTGAAACATTAAGGCTGTTCTACTAAAATAACTTACACTGCAACACTGAATAGACAACAGAAATTTCTTACAGTTTTGAACATGGATGTAAACATCCCCAACAGAAAAATAGCAACATTAATACTTATTCAAAGTATTATTCACAATGATCAAATGCTCATGGCAGACAGGATGGTTCATCATACATAAATCAATAAATATGGTATGTCATATCAACAGAATGAAAGGTGAAAATATAACCTCAATAGATGCAGAAAAGGCATTTGGTAAAACCCAACAGCACTTCATGATAAAACAAATGATGACCAAATGAAGTATACAAGAAACAAACCTCCAGTAATAAATAAGGCCACTTATAATAAGCCAGCAATTAACATCACACTGGGAGAAAACAAAAGCTTTCTTTCAAACATTTGAAATTAGACAAATAAGTCCACTTTCACTCAAGATTATAGTAGAAGTGCTGGGCAAAGAAATCAAACTAAAGAAAAATAACAAAGAGCAATCAAACTGGAAAAGAAGTCAGTTTGTCACCACAGATGACAGGACAATATACAGAAACACAAAATATTCCATCAAAAACAATAATCAAACTCAGTGATGTTACAATTTACAAAAGCAAGCTATACAAATCAGTAGCAATGCTATATACTAATAACAAACCAAAAGTCAAAAAATTCCTATTTACAGTAGATATGATAAAACAGTTTTATTCAATAAAAACCGAATCATATCTACAATGAAAACTAAACATATCAATGAAAGAATTTAAAGTGGAGACCAAAGAGCAACAAAAAATAGAATAATGTATCATAGGCATAGTAACAATCAGTCAAAATATTTACAGTACCCAAAACAATCATGAGACTCAACGTAATCCTTCTCAAAATGTGAATACCATTTTTCACAGATCTAGAAAAAGTCCTAAAATTTGAAAAATCCACACTCACAGATACACAGAAATATGTAAATAGCCAAAGTCATCTTGAATAAGAATATTATTTCAGAACTGCACAGCCATAGTAATCAAAATGGCATGGTCCTGGCATAAACATAGATCCACAGACCTTGGAACAGAATACAAAACTGGATGTAAGTCCATTCATCTACAGCCAATTGATTTTCAGTGAAGTTGCTAAAAATACATACTAGCAAAAGGATAGACGTTTCAGTAAATGATTAGTTTCTCTTATACAAAAATCCCAAAGTACAAATGAAAACCAAAATAAAAGGTATGTAATGGGAAATAGTGAATTTTTTTTGCAAGTAGGACTTTTGCAAAAGCGAAAGGGAAATAAGAGAGGACACAGGAAGGGAAAAAGGACTCAAAACAGGATAATGATGTGATATGTATGTGTATCAACCTCATCAAGAATGTACAAAAAACATGCAGCAATAAAACTAAATTTTTAAAAATGATGGTATATAGAATTTTTTTTAATCTACGTGGAGAAAAATGTCAAGAGAACCTTCTCTCACCAGTCATAAAAATCATCTCAAAATGGATTATATTTATAGGTAGGACCCAAAACAATGAATCTACTGGAAGAAAAGATCATAAATGACTCAAGATAAAAGAATAGATAGGACATTTTTGGATGAGATTTCAAAAGTATAAGAAACAAAGCAAGCAGAGAGATAGTAATGCATCAAAGTAAACAGCTTCTGCTCAGTAAAAGAAACATTCATCAAAGTGGAGAAACTTCCTACAATGGAAAGAATATTTGTAAATTATATAACTGATAAGATGTTAAACTCAGAAAGTATAAAAAACTAAGGTACTTCAATAACAAAGGAATAACCCAGTTTATAAATAAGCAGCAAATCTAAGAAGACATATATCAAAAGAAGACATATGAATGACTAACATATTAAAATTGTTCAACATCAGTAATCACCAAAAGAATGTGAATCATAACAGAGGTGAGATATTCTCTCATTTCAGTAAAAACAGTGGCAATTATCAGAAAGTCAAAAGATAACAACTGTTGTTGAAGATGTGGATAAAAAGAATTTCTTGCAATGTATTGTGAGTGTAAATTAGTACAGCCATTAGGAGAAAAAGCATAGAGGCCCTTCAAAAATGTAAAAGCAAAAAGAAGGCAAATTCATCTTTACTTGCAGGTGCTGTCTAATAATTTAATGGCTCATATTTTTCTTATTTTTAGCTATTTGGATATAAAGAGGAAAATTTGCTTGATGGAAATATTTGTACATATTTAAGTCACAATTGCTTCTCTGGAGCTTGTACATTCAACAGTGATTAATCTGTAATAAACCGATTACTACAGTCATCATATATAAAAAATGAAAATACGAAAACCGTATCATCAGCAACCTTACTACTGGATACATAGTCAAAGGAAAGGAAATTAGTGTGTGGAAGAGATTTCTGTTTATTGTAGCATAATAGCCAAGAAACGGAAGCAAGGTAAGTGTCTATTGGATGTTAAAGTGATAAAAAAAAAAAATCAAAACATACACAGTATGAAATATTCAGTGACAAAAGAGAAATCCTATCTTTTGAAATAAATGGATAAACATAGAAGATATTATCTCAAATGATGCAATCCCAGCACAGAGCTCACCTATATCAGAAATCTTAAAAAATTGATCCCATAGAAATAGACAAAAACATGGTAATTACAAGAGTGACATAAAAGGTTTGTAAATATTGGTAAAGTGATAAAAAATTAGAGTTAAGAATAAAATCAAGAAATTTATTTTGTATAGATTTTGATGATACCATATTTTATTTTTTAAAAAATGTTAAAAAAATATGTAAAGGATTCTAGCCACAAAACTGATAACTATATGAAGTAATGCATGTGATAGTTAGCTAGAATTAACCACTCTATAATGTATATATACTTTGAAACATCATGTTGTCCAAAAGAAATACATGCAATTTTATCAGACCCTTTAAAAAGAAATACATTTGCAAATTTGAAAAATCAAATAACACAATCACAGAATAAACAGATTTATATACTCACCAATACATGTAGGTAAAGAATCATTCCACTGGGCCAAAGAATTGGGCACTGTATCACACTTAATTGCTAAGGATCCATGGAGAATGTATCCTGGATTACATTCAAAAAGAACCAAAGAACCGACTGCAAATTCATTGCCAATTCTCCTTCCGAATCTTGGTTCCGGCACAGAACTGCATTGTGTAGAACTTGTTCTAGGAACCGCTGTGTAGAAATAATTGTTAGTTTTAATTTCCTATTTATTATTTCAAAATAATAGATTTCAAAATGTAACTCAATTGATTTTAAAATATAACCAAATTTATTTCAAAGGAATTCACCTTTTTGCCACCATTTGAATTAATAATTTCACTACAATTCTAAAAATTTTAAATTTCATACAAAACAGTATTTAAAAGGAATACTGCCATTTTTGATATATTTTGTTATAAATGTTTTATTCTCCAATCTATAAACAAAACCAATTAATTTTTTCTTTCATTTTTTGTTTTACTAAAATCTTACAAATACATAATGCAATTTTACATAGATATTGCCCCTATGGAATCAAAATTCAGTTTTCTTAAAACTGTATACGATTTTAAAACCATATGTCTCTGGATATATAAAATAATTTTACGTCTCTTTCAGTATTTGATCCTTAATAACATAAATTTTAAGAAATAAAATATATTTTATTTATTTCATAGTATATTTACAAACTTAGTTTTTAAAATACGTTTGTTATTGATAATGATAATTACATTCAGAGTATAAGTCAGACAGATTAACAACAATAAAATTTTTGTTTTATTAATCATGAAATATAAAAATAGAAACTGCTTTTGAAATTTTGTATGTCCTTCAATTGTGCCTTTTAATTTAGTTAAATAGAATGACAACAGGATGTTTTTTCTTTTTAAAACACATACAAATGTGATTAAATAGATTGACAACAGCCAAAAAGAAATATGATGAATTCCAAATTGATTTATTCCTTTTATAAGATTTGAGTAAGTGTAACAAAATTTTTACAGTGCCTTTTAAAATGTATAATACTATAAATTTTGTATAAGGGAAAGTACTATTGAGAAGAAAATACTATAATATTATAGTCAACTGATCAATGAAGTAAGACAATTTAATAAGAATATCAAATCACAAGTGTTACATTTCTGAAGAATAAAGTTCATACAGAATTCAAACAAAATAATTCAAATTATTGCTTAGTTTAATAGTAACATGAAAAACTCTCCACAAAAAAGCCAAAATAAGTGTAAATAAACTTAATTGTGCAATATCTATAATAACTATGAAGAAAGTTTCAATTCTCCTGAGATAACAAGAAAGCATAATTTTAGAATGAAGCAATGATTTCTTTGGTATGGCTAAATATATCAAAATAAAATCTGTAGAGTTTTAATTTAGAGTGCTAGACTATGAGGAAAATAGAAAATGCAGTGAAGATTTGTCAGAAAAACAGATGTTTTGCAAACATTATGTTGGGTGTTGGGAAAGAAGAAAATACATTTAAATTGAGGATGATGATGGAAACAGGAGATTGCTTTTTGCTTTGGTCAAGGTAAGGATGTTGTAGCAACGAAGAGGAAGGACACAGAGGATGTTTTATGCCTCCTCTATGGTAATGAGGTTTGCATCGTTCAATAACTGAACAAAGCATGGAAACTGATATCATTCCTTAGTGTGCTGCTAAACTACAGGGTCACTTACCTTGGTAAACAAAGTGAAATCCCTTAGCTGTTATTGGTCCAACTGAAGTAAATCGAATTGTGATCTGATTACCTGAACTCAGTGGAAGTGATTCTCCTACTCAACAAAACAAACACTAAGATATCATAAATAATTTTCATTCAGTAATCCTAACAAGTTATATCATTTTATACTCTCATTTGAAAATGTAATTCTATGTTCCATCAAATTACTTTAAAATATCCTGCAGCTAACAATGTATTTTCTTTGGGTTTAGTTTAATTGCAATCTTTTTACCAAAAGGTTTCAATTACATAATGATACACACTGTCTCAATCTTTGAAGAATCCTTAAATATTTACATTACATTAAATACCACACATTGTGATTAAATATTATATTTACTTGAGTACAATCCCAGAAAATGAGTATGTTTTTCTCTAGCTTTTGAATTACTTTTAAACTGTGTTTCTCTTATTTAAAAAAAGAAACTCTATTTTCAGTTTACTTCATTTCCGTATGGATGACATACATCTCAATGTTCTCTACAACACTAGTAAGTCAGGCTTTAACCAATAACTGACGCATGGCAGATCTGTGAAAGGATACCTGAGTGGGATCCTGAGAGGGAAGATAACAGAGAAGATTGCTGAGTTGGCCCATCATACACCTCAACAACATCGTGGAGTGATGTCTGGAAAAATACAAACTGGCCAAACACCACTGATCAACAGGAACCGGGAGAAGCAAACAAATCACCAACCATCCAAAACAGAAACAAAAACAAAAACAAAAAAATAGAAAGAGGAGGAGAGAGAGAACAAAGTATTACAATATAATAGTTATTTGCTTTTAAAACTATCTTTAAATGAAGAGAGGTGCCAATTGGTCGATATTCCTGACACATGAAATTCAAGTCATAAAGGCAATGACCATGAACTAAAGGTCATGAAATTTTAAGAAGGGTATTTAAAAAATAAATGGTATCATATAAATAAATAGCATGTGATATGAATCAAAAATCATAAGGTCGTTGTGGTTAAATATTTTATGGTAAGAGTGTTTTCTGTTGGTAGTTTGTTTCTTTTCACTTTGTGACTCTCTTCTCTTTTTCTAATTTTTTCCTCCTCCTTTAGATGAGATAGACAAAGTTTTAAATCAAGGGATTTTTTTTCTGATTATAATAATAGTTTCATTAGAAAAGTATCAAATTGATATGGTTCAGGGACAGTTTTCAATTTGCATTCTAAAGTCTTAATCATTTACTTCCAACTTGTCAAAGACTTATGATTCCTCAATAATTGAAATATCATAAGTTATTTTTAAAATGACTTTCTTGTGGTAAGCACAGTTCTTAAAGTACTCACCAAAAGAACTTTATGGCAGTTTTGTTTCATTTTGTACTTATCGTTAATTATATACTAACTTTACATGCAGAATCCACCCAAATTGCAACTGAACCCATCCAGAGCAGAAATTAGCTTGTGTTTTATGTTTAAAAAAAATTACAATGGATAACAAGTTATTCTTAAAAACATTTCACTTAATAGAAAATGCATGGGACTCAAAGAGTAGGCAGTTTAAAACATTTTAAATTAATTTATTAGAAAGATAACCTTCAAAAATTCAAAACCACATAAGCTTAAGTTACTCATTGTGTGAATGTAGACACACATATTTTTATACTTCAGATTCATGTTTTATACCTCAAATCAAGTTTCCTAACATCCCGTAGTGGTCCCTCAGAAAACAGCCTTGCCTGCTTGAAACATGCTGAGTTTTGCAAATGAGCACAGGGATCTGCACAACAGTGTACACAGAGCTACATTTATTTTATGGCCTGCAAAAATAAGCTGGTGGTCTCAGTCCAGTTCTGTGTTGAGTGAAAGAAAACAGTGACATTCAGATGAAAGGTCACTACTTTAAATAATTCCTGAATACCAAAGGGCTTAATCTTATAAGTGACCTTTGTTAAATTATTTTCTAGAAGTCATGAAAACAAATTTATATTTCTACCAAACCAGATACAGGCAGTGAATTGTTTTAATCATTTACATATTATGCAAAAATTTGAGGGGGGATCAGATCTTTTTAAAATATCCTGAATTCCATGCAACAAATCCAACCTATTTCTAAAATACCTCCCCAATAAGGAAACTTTGCTTTAAGGTTTTGCATTATTGGTGTTTGGATGATCTGTTTTCAAATGTATGTTTAAAATTTTCTGTTGTAATGCAGATAGGTGTAGCCATAGATTTATTCAGTGCCAAAATAAACTGTACCAAAACCTTGTCAGAGAAAGTATACTATGCAGTAAGGCATAACTTATTTTCTTCAATCATTTTGGAAAGTCATTTAAAAGTAAGTATAATTTAACATTCTTTAACTCTTTCTGCCTACATATCTCAACCATACTATGAGGAAACAAATTTATTTCCAAGCAAGCCTCTGCATTTACTAATATCCAAAACAAATGAAATGCATTTATCCGAGAGCTTTTTCGGAGGACAAAGTAAAAGGAAGACAAAAACTGGCTTTTTTTTTTTTTTTTTTGGTGTGTTTAGGATTCTTCACAATTCGTAAACTGCAAATTGAAAGCGTTGAAACCATAACTATAACGGTACAACCATTAATGTTGTATTTCTGTATTTTATCTAGTAAATAAAACGTAGGACATGCTTTTTTTAATATTGCCAATATTTCATGTTTGTAGTGGGTTGTAATAATTCTCAGATGAGCATAGAGAGAGTAGAGTAAGGGGTGGAGTAGTGAAGTGTTGAATCTTTGCCCTAGTAACCAAGGAGTGAGCTATTTTAACTATAATTTAACTCTGCATTAATATAGGCAATTGAAATTTTAAATTAGAAGCAGCTTTTATTAAAATAAGTTATACTATGAAAATGTTAAATTTTAATGCCAAATATAAATTTTAATTATGTCTAATAAGATATTTTAATGCATTCAGAATCGAGAAAACTTGCATGTGATCAATTTCTTATATATTATCAGATTATTTCTTCCCTAAACTAATGCTTGTAATCCTGTTTTCTCAATCAGAAATTTTAAAAATTAAATGGAAACTCTCTCGTTTCCACATTGTCTGTGATTATCTTAAGATTTCATTGTCTTATATGGAGGAAGCAATAAGTCTTTTCTTTCAAAATGTTGGAAATTGGTTTAGCAATATAGCTTAGTGGCTTAAGTGCCTGCCTGGCAATGCAAGGTCCTGAGCCAAAAAAAAAAAAAAAAATTGGGGAAAAAAAAAAAAAAAAAAAAGTACGCTTTGCTTGGATGAAACTGACAGAGAAAATCTGGTAGAAATTTGACAGGGCCTAAAATTGACCAATTTTATTTCATTTATTAATTTTCTTATAAGAAGTATTCTAGCACATTCTGTGTCATGGTATAATTTTTGTCTAGTAAGCAGACTTGTCTTGCATTTACTTGTAAATTCTATCTATCTATCTATCTATCTACATTTTCTATCTAATCTATCTAATCTATTCACTTATCTCTCTTCAATTTATCAGTCATTGTTATGGTTTGACTATCAAATGCCCCTAAAGACCTTACTTAAATTAGGCTTGATTGCCAGCTGATGGGTGGCTCATGAGGGCTCTCACCTCTTCAATGGATGGATCCAATTTAAGAGTGCATTGCTCAACTGACCTATCAGGAAGCGGGTTTTATTTGACAAGGCAGGGCCTCAGCCTTCCTTCTGTCTTCTCACTCCCTTCCTCCCTCCCTCCCATCTGGCACAAGAGAACAGCTCTACTGTGCACTCTGACTATAAAATTCTCCCTCCTAACCATAGGCCCAGAAAAAAATGAAAGGAGTGGCCCATGGGCCAGAAAGCCTGCAATCGTGAGCTAAACCAAACCCTCTCTCCTATAGCTTGCCTTTGTCAGATATTTTGTCAGAGCAGTGCAACTTTATCTGGTACTATCATCTAAAATTAGGTCATTTGGAAGTAGGGGGGGGGCATATACAGGAAGATTCCAGAGAAGTGCAGGCCAGTCTGAACTATTACTAGTGAGATTATTTTAAAAGGCAAAACAGGAAAGCAAAAACAATTTGGTTATCTGAATTCCCTTTGTATCACTGTAATCTTATTGTATACTGTGTCACATAACTGGGAGTTAAAGAGAATGCATATTTATATTTATATTTTTAGTATATGTATATTTTGTGTTTGTGTGAGAAAAATAGTGATTTTGTACTCTTTAAAACTAACATTTCACATTGATTTACAAGCTGATGTGTGGACATAATGGATGGGGCAGTCTTTTTAATTACAACAACTCCAATTAATCCCCCAAATTGGTCTGATTAGCAACTGCTCTTCTGTTTCTTACTTTACAAACAGAGATGAATCATTTCCTCCACGTCAGATTCAAGTTCCTTCACTTTCTCTGAAGATATTAGATATCAAAGGCACTTTGCTCTCAAGTATAAAAGGAGACTTTAAACACCAAGCTGTTTCTTAAGGGAAGCTTAAGAATTTAAATGACTATTTCCCTGCTTAAATATAATAGATTTAAAGATAACATGCTTAACTCTTTTGTTAAATAGTCAATTCTGAAGTTATATGTGGTAAAAGAAGCCAAAAATATGAGGAAAAGGGATCCTAGCAGAATAAAAAGAACATAAAATGTCCTTATGAATAAACCTCTATAAATAATGTATTTTTTTGCATTGAAATCATTTGTAAGTCTCTTATTTTCCATACATTTTATACTAGGATATATTTTATTAGCTCACACAATATTAGTTGATTTTATTGAATAATATATGAGTGAGTTAAATGTTGGGGTTAAAAAGGTAACTAAAACAGAACGAATCCTTCCTCTGAGCCTCCACTTATTATATTTGTGTTTATTGAAGTTGTAGCTTATCTTTATTGTACCTATAACAACATGTTAAATTAAGCAATCCAACTGATCATAAACCAACAAGCAGGAACTCAAGGTAAATCTTTCCATGCAGACCACTGATCTCTTAGTTGTTTAAATACATTCTTCAGTGAAAGTCTTTCTGGGCAATGTTTAGGGGTGTTCTAAGCTGTGTTTTAAAGAAATCTACTATTTTGAGTCTTAAAATATCACTTAAATATCTTCTCAGAATATAGAGAGGAAATCTCCAGTTTAGATGATATTGATAGAATGCTTATCTCAATTTTACAATTTTATATTAGTTCATTTGCTCCACTATAAGCAAGAAAATTCAGACTGACATAAATCATTGTGTCTGTCTACTCTAAGCATTGTGTGAATCTACTCTAAGCGTTGCGTCTATCTACTCTAATCATTGTGTCTGTCTACTCTTCTTTGTAGAAAAAAAATGTTATTTTATGCCTTAATTTTTGTATCATGTACAGTCAATTTACAGAAGCAGGCTTCCACTTGTGGAGAAGGTTTGCATGATAAGCTTTCATTTGACTAAATTTAATAGGCATTTTTTACTCTTGTACACCAAACCGTACCAAATACATTTGATGCTCACCTAATTCACTCAACCCTTAAGACTTTGTCCATTGACTTAATTAAACCATCCTAAAAGCAAATCGATAAGAGATGACAGAACATGTAACAAAACTCCAGAGCATTAGCATACTCAAACTGTATGATACTCAGTACAGATCTAGTCTCTCTAAGGTAAGGTAAGCAGTGTGATGTATAAGGGTTGTCAGAAGCATAACAAAGTATACCAAAATGGGGGCATTC